TCCTGATGAGTCGGTGAAACTCCGACGAAACAGTTTGTCACAGCCCCTCGTTTGTTGTCCTCTTCTCCCTCTCTGCCTACGGTTTACCGGGCAGTTCTATTTGACGATATATATATATATATATGACGATATATATATATGTGTGTGTGTCCTCTTCTCCCTCACTCAATGCCTACGGTTTACCGGGCAGCTCTGTTTGACTGTGTATATATCATAGCCCCTCGTTTGTTGTCCTCCTCTCCCTCTCTGCCTACGGTTTACCAGGCAGCTCTGTTAAAAAAACATGAAAAATCGCCAAAGATGGCAGTGTCAAAATGTGCTCGGCCACTTAGTTTTGTTTTGTTTTTTTAACTTTTCACTTTTTGTTTTGATTTTATTTTGGTGCCTCAAATATTTTATTATTTTTTGAAACTTCTTTTATGGGCTTTATATTATGTGAAATACACATCTGTAAATTTTCAGGGCATTTGGCTATCCCAAGAAAAAAATGAAAAATCGCCAAAGATTGCGGTGTCGAAAATGTGCTCGTCCACTCACTAATTTTAATTCTCTAATTTCGCTCTTCATTTTTTTTATTTTATTTTTTCGTATTTTATTTTTATTTCACATTTGGTAAGGAATTTGGATGTAACGCTGAGGCAAATGCTGTTTGTTTTATTTTTCTGCATGACATTTTTTTTTTTCAGATTTTCAGATTTTTTGGATTTTTCTTCTTCTTCTTCTTCTTCTTATTTAGGGCCGCGTTCGGCCCGAACGGCCGAACGCATCCCCAATGGTGGCCGATCGCTCGACAGGTTCGGGTTTGGGAGTTCGGCCGAACCCGAATGCCGGCAACCCTATATATATATATATACAATGGTTCAGGCTATTTTCAACATAAATGAATTTCTGTGTGCATTACCGAATCATACTTTATTCTGGATTATTGATCGACTCTTGTGTGACACCTGTCGGGACAGGGACGCGGTGCGCCTTGGCTGCATAATTCATCACCTATGCCATCAACATTATCAATCTATTGCAGCCGCCGCCGTCTGTGCCGAAGGGTGTCCAACATTTCCCCATTGTACACATCCCTATCGCCGAGATATTCGCTGTCCCTTTTGTGCTCAAGGACGCTATCAGGACTGCATGATGCCGCACTGTGATGAACGTCCTGCTGTTTTTTTGACATGTGGACAGCATGTCCTTTGTCAGGACTGTTTTGATGGGATGGTCCGTGCTAGCCGTCCTGCTGAATGCTGTGCTGAAGTAGCTCTCCTTGGGTATCCTTGTGAACATCCACGTCATCCTCCTCAGCGCGTTTTGTCAGGACTGTTTTGATTTTGATGGGATGGTCCGTGCTAGCCGTCCTGCTGAATGCTGTGCTGAAGTAGCTCTCCTTGGGTATCCTTGTGAACATCCACGTCATCCTCAGCGTGCCTGTCCAACCTGCCGGGGTGGGGGCTCCTCTTCCTGACTGGTGAATAGAATTAAGCGATCAGGAGCAACACTAATTGTAGCACAGCTGAAAGAAAGAAAGAGAAAAAGTACAAATTTTGGGAGAAAAGATAAAAGAAGAGAAGAAAAAAGAAAAAAGAAAAAAATATGTTGACCTTTGTAGTGACAGTGGCAATTGGTTTATCTGTTGGACGTGTCATTTGCTTTCTTCCTTTGTCTTTTCTTTGACCTTTCTCTTTCTCTTGCCTCTGTGAGGTCTGGTTTCCTCCTCCTTTTCTTTACCTCTTTGCCTTTTGGCTGCGTGCCAGTGGGTCCTTGTGACACACGGGGATGGGGGCAGCCAGCGCTCAACCTGTCATCCACGTGGCTGGCCTTGTACGCAAGAGGTGATGAACAGGTGGGGCTTTCCTTCCTTACTTCTTTTCCTTTCCTTGTTTTGCTTTTTTCGCCTTCGCGCTCTGATTCACAATGTAAATGTTACATTTAAACAAATGACATCAACACGAAGGATTAATCAGGTGGATTCTCAGGAAGTTTCCGACTACTGGCATGCTAGGCGTAGTTCCAAGCAACATAGGTTAGGGATTCCTAGGTAGATTTCCTGTTGACACTGCATTAGACGTGGTGGATAAGGGAATTCTTGGGAGATTTCCTGTCGACACTACTCTAGGTATAGTTTATCATAATAATCATCGACTCTTCTCTKCTTTTTCCTCCCAACCTCATCTACACGCCGATTCCACACGTCGCGTTGATTGGATTCGGCATCTTCGCTGCAATACCGACCTCTACTCTGCAGGCACTTGGCGCAAGAGGCAGTTGAGCTAAGAGGCATTGATCAGCAGGCACTGCAACCAGGTATGGACCCTCTCTCTGCCCGGGGAGTGATCTGTGCCATCGTTCATATTCCCTCTGGGCGTCTTTACATAGGTCAGACTATGCACTCCTCGCATCAACGTTTGCAGTCGTTCTGCTGCGGAGTTTCGGCGTCGCTGGCTTTACAGTGTCATGTCTTTTCAAACCCCCTTCAATTTTGCAGTCTGGCCCTTGGAACGTATGGACCCAGCCCTTTACCATACACCGCAAGGTCTTGTTGACCGTAACCTTTTCCGACGGGCTGCTATGACACGGGAAGCCTATTGGGTGCGTCGGTTGCGGACTATTCATCCAGCTGGTCTCAACGCTGTCCTGCTGCTTGCTCGCCTGCCTGCAAGAAGACGACAACGTCGTCCTCGTTGGTGGAGACAAACAGGCCCTCGTCCGTCAGACCATCAACAGCCCAGCCTATTGATTTGCATCCTAGCCCCGACTTTCAAGTCTGGTCTGCATTGCACAATCTTCTCTCACAGGCTGCTGCTGGCAATTCGCAACAGATGGAATCTGTCATCCAGCGAGCAACATCAGTTTGGCGTGCCTGCTTGCTGCAGTGGTTGAGCAATAATATCTCCAATGCAGATATGACTGCGCATATCTGTTAGTTTGAATGCCTGATTCGAAAGCATCAACATGTTCGCCAACGATACACAACTCAGTCTCGAGATGCCTTTCTTGATCATATTAAAGTTGTGCACATGCACGAGGTGTCTCAGGTAACGGGGCTGCGACAAGCCCTGCATGCACCCCAGGTGCTCCACTTGCACCCTGACCCTGATGCCGCAGCACACCTGCGTATCTGTGATAAGTTGTTGCCGCCAACTTGCGTCCAATTCTCTAATTTCACGGAAGTTGCGCTCAACGTCACACTTGGGATCTCCCTGCCTTACCCCTCAGACTGTCAATGTCGGAAAGTGTTTCCTGACTGCTCACACTTAGTCGACGACCATGTTGTTACAGCCGACTGCGACATCATTCCTGATGATCGCCTCCGCAACTTGTTCCATGAAGGCTCGAAGTACTGTCTTAATGGACAAATCGCTGATGTGCTTCAGGCTGTTAGAGTCAGCCTTAACGAGTATATTGGTAAATACCTGAGGTCGGTCTCCGAGCAGCTTCGGCTGGCCGCTCTCAACAAATTGCAGCAGTGGCGCTCAACCGTTCTCACACGTTGCGAAAGCAACATCTCATCCCCCCACACTACCACACGACAACCACACTCCCTTCACTCAGTGCACATGACTTTGAGACACCTTAACAACACTTTGCTATTGTTCCTGTCGACAAGACCTCACATAACTTGGCAATCTGTTGTAAAAATTGGTACCTGTCTCATCTATCTGCTCATTTGGACAACCCTACCTATGCTGTGCCTCTTGACTCTGTCATAGATGTTCTCGAAAATCACGCGCTCCGGAATCATCGGTGGGGATATACACACAAAGACACGCTGCCATATCTGTACTATGCACTTAAAGCGCACAAATTGCCCCCTGGGCTTCGCAGTATTGTCGGCGTCACAAAGCGGAATAATCTCTCCCTGCCGCAGCGATCTCGATCAACTGCGCCATCTGTTCATGCAGTCCACCATCGACCTCCCCACAAACCCTTGGCCAGTACTACCGTCGCTTCTGCCCGCCTCAGCATTGCATTACAAGGAGTCGTTGAAACTCTCCGTGAGAAGAATAATCTGTTGTAGCAGCAAAGCGGTGTGAGACGGTGCTGGATCGTGCAAAGCGCTGAGGAGGTGATGCTTGATCTCAAACGTAACTCCTCTTCTCTTCGTGACCATGCTCCTCGCACTATTGATTTCATAACTATGTATACCAATCTTTCTCATGACCGTATTTGTCATAATGTATCAAAAGCGGTTGAGGAAGCCTATACATATGCCTTACAACAGCACACACACGGGCAAGTGGATGGTTGATACCGGACCGAACGCCTTGGCCGTTTCACAAATTCTTGAACGTTTCCATTTCATTGTGACAAACACGTATCTTTATGCAGCGGACGACACCTTGCGACATCAACTGATTGGCATCCCGATGGGGACTAATTCTGGTCCGGAGATAGCTAATTTGACGTTGTATTGGGATGAGGCTCGATTTGTTGATGACCTCCAACGGCGTGATCTTCGCGCAGCTCAACGGTATGCGTTCACATACTTCTTGATCGATGATGTTCTCTCATGGGGACATCTGCCACCACCGTCAGAGCACTATGGCCTCAAAGGGAAGGAGACCACATCGGCTGATGGCTCTTGCACATTCTTGGGTGCACGCCTCCAAGTCCGCCCTGACGGTTCCCTGTGTATGAGTGTCTTTGACAAAGCAGCTGAATGGAATTTCCCTGTTATTCGTTATCCTAGTGCTACGTCTAACGTCTTTGCACACCAGCCGGCGGGAGTGTTTACAGGCTAGCTTACTAGGTTTGAGTATGTCTGCAACAATTGGTATGATTTCGAAACTGCAGCAGCGATGCTCACACGCCGCATGCTTTTTCACGGGCACTCTCCAACAACGCTTGCGAAAGGATGGACTTCCTATATTCGTAAACGTCAACACTGGTACCTGCGCACGTGACCCGCCTCTCCAGTTGGTTTCGCAGCATGCTTCGATGGTCTATTCACCACCTGCTTTCTCGAGTATCCACACACTGTCCTCGGACTACGCCTGTCACAACCCCTTCTTCATTATCGGCGCTTGTCACACCTATCACAACCTCTTCTTCATTACCTGTGTCTGTCGCACCTGCGTCCTGATCAGTCTTAGTAACCCCTTCCATGCCGTTTGTGACCCTAGCTGCCCCTTTTCGGTTCGCAACCTCTTCCTCATCGGCCTTGGTTGCTTCTACAATTGATTCCACGGGAGCAACCCGACCCGCAACTGCTGTGTCGCCCTTGGTCTCGATGTGTTCGTCCATGGCATCCGTGGCCATTGCAGCGACTGTGTCGCCCTTGGTCTCGGTGTGGTCTTCCATGGCATCCGTGGCCACCGCAGCTGTTGTGTCGCCCTTGGTCTTGGTGTGTTCCTCCATGGTATCCGTGGCCATACTTGCATTACCACCTGCAGAGTCCCCTCTTCGGGTCTCACCTACGACTGCCCCCCCTGTCTCTGCTTCAACCACTTCACCACCCTTGACTTCATCACCCTTGACTTCATCACCCCTGACTTCTTGACCCCTACCTTCGTAACCCCTACCTTCACCCCGCCCGTCTTCACCGTCGTTATTTCCCCTGGTTTTGTCTCCGTCTGTTACCCAGCTTCCGGCTACCCTACCACCCCTGTCTTCACCACTCCTACCTCCCCTGGTTTTGTCTCCATCCGTTACCCCTCTTCCTAATCCACAAATCACTTCGTCCACACAGACTCCGTCATCATGTTCTGCCCTTGCATAAAGCCTACTTCGTCGTCCTAGATGCCGGCTTCGGCCTACTTCCCAACCTCAACTTACTCCCCTTTCCTCCGTCTCTGTTCTTGGACGAAGAAGAACCCGTCCATTCTCCCCACCACGGCCCTCCCCAACATCCCGTCCCCGTCTTTTGCCGCCCCAAGCATCCTTACGACGCCTGTGACGCTCTTCGACTGCAGACCTTTCTGCAACGCGACAAACACAAAATAGGAGGGATGATGGCGAGGGACCATCTGAGGATGAACTTGGCAACGGGACTGTAGGAGATTCTGTAGAAAATCCGCCTGACCGGCCTCCACAGAATCTGTGTGGCCTCGCTGCTACTAACATCTGCCTACAAGCCTATCGTCGGGAACCATATACTCACTCTGATTTCTTGGCCAGTGCTTCCGATCTTGATGCTCAAGAACGTGAGTTATATGGCGATAACCCGACTTTGCATCCCCCAGAAGATAGTAATTACACTCCACATGGGGGATTCAATGTCTCTGTTTTGGAGATTGCTTTGATAAGGCACCGGCTTGATATGCAGCGTGCCCCTTCGGGTGGCGACCTGGACCACTGTTCGCACGTTTGTGCCTATATTCTACATGCTCCTGGCCACTACACTGCACTTGTCCGTGCCTCTGGTTCTTGGGAATTATGGAATGGCGGTGCTATGGTGCAAACTATTACTGCCATCTGAAACGGTTTTCACCTTTTAGCAACAGCGGATGCAGTACCCAGGGTTCGATCCCTAGACCTCACCCTACCCATGTACAGTATCTGCGTAGACTCCGAGAATTGAACCTGTGACCTGTGTATTCGTAGGCAGTTGGTAGACCTGTCGTAGGTCCATAGACAGCAGGGGTTTGATCTGTAGGTCTATAGCGTAGGAGTCTTAGTGAGTTCTGGAAGCTTAGCTGTAGACCTTCTAGAAGGTAGGCAAGTGGGCAAGTGGTCAAGTGGTGAGGCAAGTGGTGGACTAAACCGCAGTGCAACAGCAGTGCAATGGCGGTAGGATAGCGGTGAGTCTACAGTCAGTCAACGGAAGGTCCAGTCAGTCCCAGTCGGGTCCAGCAAGTACCA